AGCTACGCGCAATAATTTCAACTTTTTTTTTTGGATACAGAGCAATAATTTCAACTTTAATAAAGAAAAAGGCCGTAGCTATCGACTAATCGACGAGATTTGTCTCCTTTGATCAATTATGCTTGTTTGTTTGTTTTTGCAATTACTTTTATCACACGGATAGTTGTTTACACTGGGCAGCGTTCTGTGCATATTTTTTATTAATGAAACTTCTGTCTTATTTCCAAAAAAAAAAGCTGATGTGACTTCTAAGGAAGCCTAACATGACTAGGAATATAATTACCATCTCATATTTTTATAAGAGTTAGTTAATTAATTTAAATATATTAAAACAAATTAGTTAAATTAATTATTTATAATAAAGAGGTATCGTCTTTTCTAAAATATCTTTACTAATCAAGTATATTGGCTAGAACTACTATTATTATAAAAACTATCTTGAAAAAAATGGATAAGTGCGTGAGACAAAGTATATTACAGTCTTATATTTGGGATCAAAATAAAAAACAAACAAGCTCTTATATTAAGGATTCTGCATATGTGGCTGGAGATAATAGAGGGTATGTGATAAAGACCAATTTTTATATATTTTATCCCACATTAATCTAGGATTTAAATGATATTTTGGACTTAAAGGTTTTTTATGCATTATTGGATTAATGGATTGACTTTAGGATTTTTCATAAAAATTGAGATTTTGGATTGAAAATATGAATATTTTGTGATTTTTTATTTTTTGCTCGGAATTAATATTGCTTATTTTTTTTGGAAACAAATCTCATATTTTTAGAAAAATTGATCTTTGGAAAGTTGTGCAATTTCTTGTCTTGCTTTTGTGTAGACCTAATACTTAATTTTGATGCAGATTATATTATATTTGGATATAATCTATATTAATAGATACGCTTAAATTCTTGTTAGTTAAGAAAAAGCATATAGGAAATCTAACAGTGTAAGATTATTTTTTTAGAATTCAAGTACAATCCAACGACTAATATAAAATAGATTAATTAATTAGTAATGAGCTTAAACTTTTGATCCATTTTTTTTTTCCTCCCAGTAAAATATTTCCTTCATTTCATAGTCGCCATTGGCGTAAAATCTCTTCCTTCGTCACCGTTCCTCTAGTCTCACGCTGCTTCATCCATCAATCTCTTCCTTGTTGCCATTCAACTCATTAAAAAAATATTATTTTGTCCCACTTTTCCTATTGCATTCGACACACATCACAGCACCTACAATTCCTTTTCTTGATTCTAGGAGGAGACCACGTCATCGTCATCTTCCGCTTTTTACTCATGGCCATGGCTTTTGACAACTTTAGAATAAGCAGGATAATTTTCACGGTAGTTTGAGCTTTTTGAGAGGCAATTTGGGATAAGCATAGAAGAAGCTGAAGTCTTGAACTAGCATATGAAGATAAAAAGAGTAATATTTCATTTATCTTTTTAATTCAAAGATTTAAGATTATTTAGTTTTAAATAATTTTGAGTTGTATTTTTGTGAGACAATTCAATTCTGGATTGTCATTTTTATTCTTGGATTGAATTGATATGGGAATTTTATCTGTGCTGAGATACTTGTTGGAATTTATGTTTATGAACCTTTGTATTATTAATTAAATTTATAATTGAGTTTTCATTATAAATTTAATTATCAATGTGATTTGAGTTATAAATTTTTTGACAAAAAAAAAAAGAATTACAAATTTGGGTTTTTTGGCATCTTGATTGTTTAATTGAGTTGGTAAATTATCTAATTGTTTGATTGGATAATTTTAAGCATAATTTTCACAAATAATTTGAATTATTTGTCATTAGCTTTAATGAGTTTAATTAACCAAATTTACATCATTATGAGTTTTCTAATAGTTAAGAGTTTTTTAAATTGAGGGTTTCCTTTGTTTCAAGTAGATAATTAAACTTATTAATTTCATTCTCTTATCACTTTCTTTTGGTCTAATTAATTGATTTAGGTTATGAAAGTTAACTTTATAAAAATCTTAAGTTGTTTCCTCTACCGTATCTGTAGAGAAACCTCTCACTTTTATTTGTTAATTTTTTTTGCTCTCTAGTTAATTTTCTTTATTTATCATTTTAATTTTTCCTTTTAAAAAAATCCCCCCAAAAAATTGTATTTGCATTCATTTAGTTTAATTTAATTTTTATATAAATTTTAGGATATTTGCATCTTGTATTTAGAATTAGAATCTTGTATTTTATTTTAGGTCCACGTTATTGCATTTTTCATCACCTATATTTTTATCTAAAGAAACTTTTAACTTGCTCCTTGAAAGTAACGACCTAGGTTGATCTTAAACTACAAATTAATTGGGATGTATTCTAATTAAATGCCTTAGCAACAGAGGCATCATCATTGTGTTTAGATTAGTTGTGGTAAAATTAATTTTTATTTCAACTGACTTTTGTAAATTTAAGTTAGGATAAAAATCAATTAACGTAATGTGGTTTATATTTGAATTGATGTTTATAAAAAGTCATTTGAAAAGTTGAAACTTGTTTGGATGGACAATAAAAAGTAAATTTAAATGTAAAATGACTAAAAAAAGGCATGAGTTTTGTTAAATTATTATGTATATAATATGATAATTCTAAGAAAAATATTAAAATTAAAATTATAAAAACAGTTAATATATTATTGAGAAAATTTGAAAATATTAAATATAAAGTATCAATCCATTTTATGTCTAACATTTATCCATTTTACCTCAAATAACTTTATGGTGATTATACATACTAAGGAGTTTTCATCAATAGGTAGTTTTACTACATATGATTAATAATAATATTTTAGGTAAGACAACATCAATTTATTACAAATAAATAATTAACTATTTTTTTAATATCCTCAAATTAAGTCTCTGGCTTTTATATTAAAGATAGATAATATCAAATTATTAGGTTTTTTAAGAATAATTTTGTCCCTTTTCCTTGTCATCTTTCCTTATTTCACAGTGCGTTAGTAAAGTTCCTCATATTAGTTTCAGTATGAGAATGCCTTTTATCCAAACACACGCTGTTAGTCTCACTGGGACAACCAAACAAATATTGACCGAGGGAGACCGTGCTGGCTCTTCTTTTCTTTCTCTCTCCCTCTCCTTTCCGTGAACCTCCCCGCAATGGAGGAGGACTAAAGAGAAAGCGGAATTCATTCAAAAAAGGGAGAAAGAGAAAGGGGAGTTTTTGGAGGGGAATGAATGAGTCGGAAGCACATGAGCTTTTGTTGAACAGTGTCAATAATCTCTTCTACTAACTTGGACGAGTTACATATGATGAGAATTAATTTATTACCACCGGCCTGTTGGCCCAGTGGTGCGGGTGTGTGCGTGGGTGTGTGAGTAACGCGGGTTCGATCCCGCTCCCATGTATCAAAAAAAGAATTAATTTATTACCTGTCTGTTTGGTTGAACTTGTAAAGTGACTTATAAACTATTTATTGACTAAAAACTAGATTGGACAGTTTTGATTGTATTTGGTTTCACTTTTAACCCAACTGATTTATAGGTCAAAAACAGTTTTTTCAAGTACGATTATAAAAATATCTAAAATTTACTTATGGCTTTTGTAAAATTAATTTTTTTAATCAAAAAGCATTTTTGACCCCATATTTATGTTCTTATATTTTTCTGCACATATTTCTTGTGCTTCTCAATCAGTTTTAATTATTTATTTATTTTTATTCTCTTAAATGAAAATAATTTTGAACATGGTTTTTATAGTGTTTTTAATTTTTAATATTATTTTTTATTTTATAATTATATAAATTGTGTAGAGCATATCATCGAATTAATTATACTCTTCCGATCCTAAATATAAAGCCTATTTTGTCGTGTAAATCACACACACTACAAAAAATATCTTATATTTAGGACTGGAGGAGTGTAATAATACTTTATTCAAAAATTTTCACATTAATATGATTTCTAATTTAAATATATTTTATTCATTAAATATACTTTTTTTATTATAATAATTTAAAATTGTTATATTATGTAAAATCGTATTTTTAATCATTTTTTATTATTATCCATTCTGATCATTCTACAAACCAAACCTACTAATTCAATCATTATCAGAACAACTTTTTTACTTTACAAATTAACTTTCGTAAAAATCAATCTAAATATAAATCACATTACCCCATTTAACTTTTACCCAATTTAACTTTTTTAAAAGTCAAATTAAAAACAAGTTACTTTTTCTATTACCAATCCAAACAGACCCTAAATAAGAACAAAAAGTAAGGACTGAGTTTTAACTACATTCATAATTGAGGAATTTTGATCAATTTACATCCATAACTGAGAAATTTTGATCAATGTTCCCAAATTCTTATATTTAAGAACTTATAATTCATGATATTAAGATTTAAACATGTCAATAAAATTTACCAGAACTTGTCTTTCCTTTGGCATGAAAAATAAACAAAATCTACAGAGTACGAAATGAGGAACGAAAGAGGCAGAAAATGATCACTTGCCTCAACGTATATGTTTACCTCAATCTTAAAGGTCTAAACATTCAGTGCAAACAGCAAAAATCAACTAACAGAGCAGACTTCCACATCCATGGCCCATCAAAAAATTGAAGGAATTCCAGATGTGAGATTTTGTTTTTTTTAATTTTGCAGACATGGGATCATTTTTTTCTTGATTTGTATTGCAAATATAATGCTTGGCTAGTCGGAAAAGCAATCTTCAAAAGGATTTGGAAGGCCTGATTACATTTGCAACCGATCACAGATGAATCCCCTATAACTTGAAGGCTGTAATTCATCAGGTCATCACATGTTCTGCATATATCTTAATTCCTCAGATAAAATTGTGAGGAAGGGGGAAAAAGGTATCATTTTTGGTTATATACCCAGAACCATTATCATAAGGTTTTACTCAGTTTCAGAACCTCTTTTAGCAACTGGTTGACTAAATTGTTTACTTTACCTGGAACAACCAGCTGAGGATGCACTAAAGACAAGGCATAAGAGCAAATGACCTTCATTGCCATAGCCAGATCCAAATTGTTGCTATCAGTCCGCCAAACACTTTGATCCGCAAACTTGCATGAATCTCTCAGCATGCATCTACTGCAAACCTGACGGATAACAAAATTGAAAATTTTGAAGTCAAGCAATTACAGCTTTACATGGTATTTTCTTTAAAAAAAAATATTTTTTTTGAAAAAAATGCAGAAAGTATGTATACAAGATGTGCCTTACAGTGTTCTCTGGAATCTTAAAAAAGTATCGCAGCCTTTTGCAAGGATTGACTTGAGACCTATTGGCAGACGGGCAGCCAAACATTGCCACCTCTTTCAGATGACTTCCTGAAAGCCATCTGTAAAATCCAATTTCATATTAGCACATATAAACATGGACATATAGAACTCAACTTGCTTATGTTCACAATATGAATATATTTTGCACATATTAAATAATCACGTTGATACAACACAATTGGATCGTATGACCTAGATGACCAGACTACCGCATATCACAAGCAGGACTCTTGAACGTGCAAGTTTCTGAGCATGCAACAAAATTTCAATCCTTTATGCTTTTTTATTGCCAAGAAACTGCATGCAATATTTGCTTTTCTTACGACTATTTAGTCTTCACTACAATGACTAGATTCTTAGGCTGTGAGTATCAGCTCAGGCCAAGATGAAATTGAAAACTACAAAGCCACTGATTAAACATCAATATTGGCAGCCTCCTCCTGCAACAAATTAATTTACCTAACTTCATGCAAACAGGATAATATAACTTTTCTAAGTTCGTCGGTTGAACAATCAGAACAGCACTCATAAATTATCAAAGAGTCACTAGCAGAAAGCTAGACTTAAAATGTCAAAGAATTAAGTTTATGATATTATTGATAGCTAGATCTACATTCATCTTCTTATTCTGAGGCAAGGTCAGTCTTGTGGATCTTTAGCATATGCTGAAGGTAGCAAAAGTATCACAATGAAACTGCACCAGTTAAAAAAGAAACAGATGGGGGAAAAAAAATAATGAACCAAAGAAACTAAAACGGATAGATGCCGCAAAAAATGCTCCAACTAGATGTCAAACAAAATGCACATCTAGAAGTCTAGAACAAACATACTCAACTCATCAAAATACACAGAAAAGATACGAGGGAACCCTGAAATATTCATATTTCTGGCTTAACACAAGTCACGAAACCCTATATTCAGCATCAACCACGTTTGGATAAGTCAAGTAGTAGACCAAGTATATACAAAACGAAACAAAGGCCCATCAGGACGAGTGGAACAGGGCAACCTTTATAAGCTACCCCCTTACAGGGTTCAGGCCTTGAAACTCAAGCTTCTAAAATCCAAAAGATCATCCCTAATCCCTATGGCAGAAATAATTGACAATCAACACCAATATTCAACCGAGTAACTCAAGTATCACAACAGAAAAGAGATCAAGCCCAAGAACTAAAGGAAGACATAAGTTTAAATGTTCATATTCTTCTATATGCATCTTCTCCATGAGTCAAACAAATGTAAGAGCGTTATCTTACTTGGAGATTTCTTGCTTGTCTCTGCAGAACTTCTGCACCGCTGACAATGTATAATGCCGGGCGTATTCAATATCGAACAAGCTAAGATCAAATTGTTTACCCTTGGCAAAGTTGGCATCTCTAAAATACCCTTCTTTGTATAAATAAGATAGAAACGTTTCCATGTCCAACGAAAGCTTCTTTAAACCAACTGGCTCCCTCCGTTTCACTTCTTTATGCGTTTCATCGACAGGAGTGATTCCATGACTTAATCTCCCCAGATTAGCTTCCTTCGATTCCTCCCCTTGACCAAACAAATCATACAATCTCTTTGGCTCAGGTTTCTTTGGCTGCTCCACCTTAACTACCTCCTCCTCCTCTATGAATTTTACTTCCCTGGGTTTCTTCAATTTCTTCTTCGGCTTCTTCTTTTTGTCGTCTACGAGTCCAACTTCACTTTTCTTATGCTCTGTCTTCTCCGACAAACCCACGGCTTCACCTTCTTTCGGTTTTTCCTGGAGCTCCCCCTCACCGATCTCCTCCTCTTCTATGAATTTTACTTTCGATTGCCTGGATTTCACCAATTTCTTCTCCGGTTTCTTCTTCTTCTCGACGTCTTTTACGGTTCCAACTTCACTGCCCTTGCTCCCTGTTTTCCCAGATAAACCAGCGGCTTCATCTCGTTTCAATTTTCCCTTGAGCTTCTCGTTTTTTGGAACGCTTCCCCGCTCTGGAGGTCTCTGAAAGAGAGAATGCAACGACTTTACGGCATGCGCTCGGTCTGATTCTGCGAGGGCTTGAGAGGAAGAGGCGAAGGGTCTGCGATGAGACGGAGGGATTTTGTGGGAGTGAGGAGGGTTTGAAAGGATAATGTGGTAGACGAAGGCGACATTTTGGGGCTCCAGAAGCGAATGCAAGCGACGAAAGAGAAGGTTTCTTGCTAAGGCCATGGGGTTTAGCTGACTGAGCTGTAGATCACAGCATTTGAGGAACTAGGGTTTAAGGGGGGTCTGGATTCTCTCAGCGGCGGCATCTCTCAGCGTCTCTCAGCGTCCCGATAACTACCATTAGATTGATCTAAGAGCTCACAATATGTCATATCATCATGCTATTAAAAATTAAAAATAAATCTAATTAATGCTATAAAATTGCCTTAAAAAAAAGAATTATTCTTTTTTTAAAAAAATCTGAGTGCAACACCTAATTTCTTGGATCTACTTGTTTTAATTGTAGAGTTTATTAAGAGTCCAAATTAATATAAATTGAGTCAGATAATATCACAAAGAGAAGTAAAGTTCTGCCATCAAATAAAATCACTTGATATAGTTTTGCCACTCTTTATGGTTTTGCCTGACTTGATTTGTTTTAGATTAAACTTAGATAAATTTTCCAGTCTAAGATGGATAAGTCCAAAAAAATTATATATAAATATTTGATGGTTAAGTTTTTTCATTCTTTATGGTTATCTGGATAAGTTTGGAGTCTGAATATCTCACAGATTCTCTAACTAAAATGAGCCAGGTGAAAAAAAGCTGAATATTCAATGCTAAAAATAATCCCAGTTGAAATCTAGTAAAAAAAATTTACACTACAGTTCAGATTTATTTCTAATTTTTAATAACATCACGACGTGGCACAATATGATCTGTGTTAGATGAATTTTAATGGCTGTGATTGCGCCGCTGAGGGACGCTGAGGGAAGAGTATCCTCTTCCGGTTTAAGGGGGGGTTCTCACTCGGACCAGAAAGGCGCAAACTTGAGAATGCCTTCTGGGAAAAAAAAAATTAAAAAATACAAATTAAAGCACACAATATTACTCCTTTTTCTTCAATAATAACTGGGCTTCTTCCAAAAAGCAAAATCCAAACATCCCTGGCCCATTTAAGATTTTGAGCCCAACAGCGATTTTTTTTTCCAGGCCTGCCTGCCTGCCACTGAATTGAAGAAAAGAAGCAACAAGAAAGACAAAACAGGAGATGTAATGGACATACTGATGAGAGTTAGATCTAGTAGAAGGGATTAGTTTCTCACAAAATCAAGATTTAAATTCCAATTAAAAGAGGTGTCTATATTTAATACCCAATAATATGTTGAGCGGCATTACGTCCAATAAAAAGATATATGTGTCTACCAAAATAAACAAAGAGATGTAATGAAGAGAAGAAAGTAACTTCTGGGGCAGTTGAGAAATGCGCTGCAGTGGAGAAGCAGTTTCACACCTGGGGAAATGAATATTTATTAATTAATAAGTACTGGTTTTTGAAATTTTTTACCACTAGAATGATTAAAAAAAAAAAGTAAGATCTCCTCTTTTTTTATGCATAATGAGATTTACTTTTGTAATATTAGTTTTGAATTTTCTAGTTATATTGTTAATTTATTTTTCAAATTATTTTTGTATAAAGAAAGATAATGACGTGTGGAAGAAAGATGACTCCAGGTTTCATCAAGCATTACCAGAGGGATAAAGTCACGTTTGGGTCCAAGCCAGGTAAAGTGAAAAGGTTTTCCTCTTTATAATTTTTTGTTCCTTTCTTTTGATTTGATCTTGGAATATATTTCTATAACATTCATGATAAGGGCTTATCAGATTGCAATGAAATTAATGTTCAAACATATATTAGGGCTAATTTTTATGACAAGTCTATGATTGGTCTCAATTTATCTGGATTTTTACCAAGTGAATATTGGGTTCCTTACCTACTACATAATGAAATATTTTGGTTCTATATATTATTGGTTTATAAAGTATATATAATAGCTTAGATGTGTATATATGTAACGTTGAAATGTGGGAATTTGTGATATGAAACGTACTAACTTTGATATGTCACATAATGTTTGTCTCAAAATTGTCTAAATGCTTGATCATGGAATTCTACAGGCTGCGTCATGTGTTTTCCTCATACTAGTACTGTTTAGTTGTTTGAAAGATGAATTTTCTCTGTGACAGAGATTTAAAAGACAAATGTAATATCAAAATCTAAGACAATAAAATCGGTACATCTATATACTGACATTAGATGATACTGCATCATGTGACTAACTGGCTTGCTTTTTTTGAAAAAAAATTGGGTTACTTATGGTCATCTTGCCTACGATTTTCATCAATTCAAGCTCTAAATGGTTTTATTTTGTTAAGGATTTAATTGGAATTATGTTACGCCACTTCAATGTAAACTTCTATTGACATTTTAGATCACACTACCTCCCATTTTAAACGTAAAAATTAGTTAGATTTAATTTGATCTTAAATACAAGATTCATTACAATTCATTTTGTCTCCTATATTTATTTATTTTTAAATAATTCTCATGGTGATTACATATGTTGAAATGTTTCTATTTTAATACGCATGATTAATAATAATGATGTTTTAGAAAAAATAAAATTCATTTATCACAAATAACTAATTTAATTAACTTTTTGAATATTCTTACGTAATTAGTTATCTAACTTTTATATTAAGCACTAGGGATAATAGTTTACTAACTTGCAAATTGTTTTCTCACTACATGCTTAAAAAATTTCATATGGCGATTTATTTACGAACAATATCTCCCCTTACATATGGTTTTGTTTACCCAACATTGAGATATACACATTTAACCAATTGTTCATTGAACACAAAATGATCGATATACGCATCTCTGTAAATTCATTAAATAAATCGATAAACATTCACTTATCATATACTATCTAATCATCATCAATACATGTCCACCTACTATCTATTCATTGAATGTAAAATATAAACTTCACTTTATATATATATATATATATATATTCATCTGCAAATCTGTTCACAATACATGTATTGGAAATTAGAGAGAAGCCGCAAAAGATGATTGCTAAAAGAGGGGATAAAGACTGATATAATAAGCATTCAACTCAGAAAATTCATCTAACAATAAAAATTTCACCTTAATTCACTTAAAAAATATTATAAAATATAAAATTACAACACCAACCTGATTCCATAATACATACTCCTTCGATCTTTGATATAGGATCTAATTATTGAGTTGATTTTGATCTTAAATATAAGACAACTTTCTCATATTTATCATTTTTTTCTAAATTACTCATATTGATACTCTCTTAAGTATAATCAAATAGGAAAGGGAGGAAAATATTAAGAAAGATAATTATACTGTTTGAGGCAAAACATGTCATATTTCTTATAATTAACTAATTTATCTAATTTTTTAATATAATCAAATTAGTTAAATAAGTCTTATATTAAGGATCAAAGAAGTGTGTGTATATATATATGTTCTCGCCATGGTCATCTGTCCAATAATATACTACTTTTGGTCCTAATTATAAGACCTTATTTGTAAACTATAAATGAGTTCTTATAATTAGGATAGGAAGCAAGTGTGTGTGTATTCTCCCTATCGTCATCTGTCCAATAGTCACTAATAATATGGCAGAAGCTCATAATCCCACTGTTCCTCTCTCCCTCTCCTTCCTCCTCGTCACCTGCAGTTATGGCTTTTTATTCCTTACCGAAGCAACCAACCATGGCTTTAGTGTAGAACTAATCCACCGAGACTCTGCAAAATCTCCACTCTATACTGAATCATCACACGTGCAGAAACTTCACTGCTCTTTCCTTCACTCCATCAAACGAGCCAATTACTTCTACCCTAATACTGAAACCGTTGAAGCCGAGGAAGATTTACCAGAATCTGAAGTAATCCCTATTAGAGGATAATTCATCATGGCCTATTCCTTAGGAACACCACCTTTCAAAATCTTTGGAATAGCAGACACAGGCAGTGACCTTGTTTGGTCACAGTTTTTACCTTGTCGTAATTGCCATAACCAAACAGCCCCCTTATTCGATCGTTCTAAATCCTCAACCTTCAAAAACATCTCTTGCTTCGACCAAAAATGTACATCTATAGTTCCCCGTGAGGTCCAGACATGTTGTGAGGATGGAACAAAACTTTGTCAGTACGACGTGCAGTACGCGGATCACTCAGTTTCAATCGGAAACATCACATCAGACACACTGACACTTGGCTCCACCAGTGGTCGCCAAGTGGCGTTTCCTAACATTGTGGTTGGTTGTGGGTATATTGATGGTCCATTTAGTGAACAAACTTCTGGGATTGTTGGTCTCGGAGGAGGTTCGATTTCTTTAGTTTCTCAGATAAGTTCTTCCATTGATGGTAAATTCTCATACTGCTTGGCCCCATTGTCGAGTAATCGAACGACCAAGTTGAATTTTGGAGCAAACGGTGTCGTTTCTGGAGCAGGGACTGTTTTTACTCCAATGTTTTGGAAAGATCCAGCGGCTTTCTGTTACTTTACGTTGGAAGCAATTAGTGTTGGAGACAAAAGGATAGCCTTTACATCATCAGGTGATTCGATTTTATCTCATCAATCACTAATTTATGTTTGTTAATAATGAGAAATAAGAAAAAAAAAAATTAAGTCAAGATAGCTATCAATTAAGTTATGAATGCTTACCCATTAACGATACACTTCTGGACATGTGAGACTCGTTTTGACAGTGGATATAATTTCTTTTAATGAAAAATGAGCGAGTAAATTGATGAAAATATTTGTTTTTAATTCGTAGAATTGTATATATGCACTGTAATAATTTGAGATAGAACTCATGTTCTTGCCTTATTCGAGTTATTTATACCAGGTCATTAATTTGATTTCTTTGGTTCACGCCCTCTTCTTTAGTTACATGATCATATCATCTCAAAGCAATGTTTTAATTAAAAAAAAAGGCCAAGGTTGACTTACAATTTGATCATACTAATTTGTTAAACGACATCACACATAACAGAATTATCCATAACCATATATTTAGGCGTGAGGTAGATTAGATTATAACCTGAATTTTTAATTTCTAATTAGGTGCATTATATTATTTGTGTTGATGCTATAAGAAAAGGACTTGGTTTGCATGTAGGTGGTTCAGTGTAGGGGGGCAACATAATAATTGATGCGGGAACAGCACTGGCTTTGCTTCCACAAGACTTCTATTCAAAACTTGAAGCAGAAGTTGCTTCACAAGTGAAATTTTAACGTGTTGAAGAACCATTAAAGATTTTGAGCCTTTGTTATAAGTCTTCGTCGCAAAGCATTGAAGCTCCCATTATTACTGCTCATTTTAAAGGTGCAGATGATAGGTTAAGTACACTTAACAGCTTCACTAAAGTTTCTGGGGATGTGTTTTGTTTTGCTTTCCGCTCATTTTCACGTGGTGCTGTGTTTGGGAACATCGCACAGATGAACTTCTTGGTGGGTCATGATATTCAGAAGAAGTTGGTTTCCTTCAAGCCACTGGATTGCAGCAAGCTTTGATTTTTTTATGTTTTCTGTCATTAATAATTAAACTGTTTTTTCTTGGCCAGATTATCATGTGTAAACTCGATTATTTACGTGGAAATTGGAACGTTGTTTGTTTTGTCTACTGAGAAGAATTAGTACAACTCGAACTGTATCTGAAATAAATAATAGTAATATACAAATGCCTAAACTGTGATTCTCTTTTTTTCGTTAATATTGACGACGTATATGAGAATATGAACTTAGCTCAAAATTACTAAATTCCAAATAAAGAATTGCAACAAAAATATATCATATTTATAAGTCCAGTCTTGTCAAAACCTATTAAAATGTTATTATTAATAATTTCAAGTTTTTTTTTTGTGTAACTCTTTTAATTTAAAACTTTATATGACAGTAGCATGATGGATTGAAAGACATAGCGTGAATCTTAACGACGAAACATTTTGATATGGATGATTTTGATTTATTTTTATTATTGAAGGTACTATATAGAGATAAGTGTAGACTAAAGTATATATTTACTTAAATTGCTGTTTAATCACCCAATTGATAAAGTATATTTTTAGTCTATTACTTTTAAAACTGTTAATCTTATTGAAGGAAAATGCTCACTCAACCAATTAGATGATAACTTATGCAATCTAATAGCCACTAAACATACTTAAATTTTAATTATTTAATATAATGGTGTTTTTTTCCGGTAAATATATGTATTTTTTAATTGGAAGCAATCCTATTTAAAGTACTGTTATGTACTAAATATGACTACTTCTCTTAACAGATATTCAAACTTAATTTATCATATTGTGATGGACTAGCATTTTTTGCCGTTAGACTAACTCTGTTGGTAACATAATGATATGTTTTAAAATTAAAATATACAAATATGCAAATTTGTACAATTGAAGCCCACATTGAGGTCTTCGGCTTTTTGTTATTGGGCCCGAAACAATTATACTTTTGATCCCCTAAGAACTTTCCAGAGAAAGTGGGGGAGAAAACAATCAAATTGGTGCAAAGAAGATAAGAACAAGTTAACGTGAGACTGATGTACAAGATCAATTAATGTTTGCCACTCTGCTTCTGAATATATGTCACTGGTATGTAGCAGGGAGAAGTTTTAGTCCAAAATGTAAGTTATTTGTAATATATTTAATCTTTTTTTTTTTCAATTTTATCCTTATAATTTGATTCTTATTGAAAAGAGCAAAAGAAGAGAGAGATATGGCAATGATTTATAAATATAGGGAAAGTGAACGTGGACAATAAGGGTGAAATTTAAAAAATCATTGCATTCCTTAATACTCCCCTAAGTCAATAATATAATAAGTTGGTTAATTTTTCTCACGTATTAAAAAAATAAAATTTTAATAATTAAATTTGTTTTAAAATGACAGAAATTTTCCTATTTTATCCCTAAAAAAATGATAAAGCTGCTTCTAATATCATATTTTTTATTATCTATCATCTCCCTCCTATATTTAATAGGAATGAAAGTAAAAAAATTATATTAATTGTTCCGACAAAGTCTTTTATTTTAGATCATAAATCATAATTTTCCTAACAAATTTCTTATATTACGAACCAGATGGAGTATATAAAAATGTGCTATACATAACTTGTATCAAGGATTTATAATATAATCAAAACAAAAGACGCATGCAGGTAGCCAGGTGCTATTAATTGCCCGTGTGAACTGTGGAAATTGATCAAATCTTTAAGAATAACACTGCATTATTATTATCTTGCCCAAAAAAAAAACATTGAATTATCAAAAGACTACTGAGACTGTTGACTTAAATAGTTAATGTATAAAATATGAATCAATCATTATCTATGTAGCTAATAATAATATAATCCTTATAAAGCTTCTCATAAAATATTGCTTCTAGCTAATAATAATGTTGGTTCCTCTTCCTGCCCAGCATAATAAATGAATCTCCAACATGTTATCATGGACATCAACATCAAAATTCTTCACAATAACACCCTTACCAGTGCCACCAGCCTCCTTTATAACGTTAAAGTCTCTCAAGTATTTCCGACCCTATCAATAGATGCGCACAAAAGCTTCAGATTTTAAGAAATTTAATTAACATACATCGCAAAAGCCGCGTATTGAAGCATTATATAAATCAGTAATCATTTGCATGGCTAGAGAGGGTCTTATTTCCTCACTCTTCATTGGATTCTCTAATCACTAGAAGAAAAATTAGATTCACTCACTTGCATTGAAGTGTCAAATATACGCATTCTAATGCCGGTGAAATTTTGGTCATGCGAATACATAATCTCAGCAAAATATAGCTGGACGTTTGTAAACAATGAATGATCTGCATGTGTGGTGACAACCTCTTTAAAAAAGAAAACAAGGAGAAGAACAGGGTTCTGTCCAGCAACCCAAATATCATTATTACTCCGTTACACGTATTTTCATTTTTCCGGTTTTGGTATTAACTCTAAAAATAAACAACACTTTCATATGAAAAATAGAAAAGCACAAAAGACTAGAGCATCAAGAAATAAAAAACAGCACCTAACCAAGAAAAGTTAACAGCAAAAGAATGTAGCATTAAGCATTAAAAATCAAAGACTGGAGAATAACATTTGCCGGAAAGAAGAAGAGAGAACAGCAATAATGCTCTCAGTCCTCAGAAGCCCATTCTTCTCCCATATCTCTCAGTAGCTAATCTAAACCTCCACTTTTCTGAGGAGATCTGCTCTCAGAAAGTGCTGAGAGCGAAATCAAAAAACAGAAAAGCTTAGAGCTTGTAGGGAGGAACGGTAGAAGGTGAGGGAGAGATCAGCAAGATGGAGGGAGAGTGACGAGAAAAAGTGGTGATGAAATAAATAACAAAAAAAAATAAAGGAAAATACAAAGAGATGGATAGGAAATAGAAGATCGAACCGGTGGAAAAGGAGGCATTTGCAGGGATGTCGAAGACATAAAGCGCCTTGAGAGGCACTGTGAGAGCAGGGAATAAGGAAGGAAGAATGCAGAGAGGAGGAATTTCGGAGTTGTGGGCATTTAAGGATCAAAAGGGTAACGCCATGGGAGGGGATCTTCCCACCGAATATTCTCTCTGTGTTGTCCGAAATCTAATCCGTCTTGTTTGCTTGCACGAAACCTGCCTGAAGAGAAGAAGCCTACTACTCAGCTATGGCTTAGCCTTTTTCCTGTTCTTTATTTGTTTTTCCATATGAGATATAATCCTTATAATGCTTATCCTTTTTGAATTTGATTCCCTTCCACTACACTCCAAATCATCCCCTCTAACATTCAGTTTTAGAACCGCCCTTAGCAGCCTGTTGACCCAAAAATCTATTATTTTTCTTTTTTAAGAGTTCACGTGGAACCTCTTGATCAATGCTGCTTTTTCTTACATAAAGAAATACTAGCAGGTAATTAAGTTTGTCTACTGTTGTTCCTATTTAAAGCCATTAATTATGGGGGAAAAAGTAATACAAGTCTATAACTGTTCTACTTAAATATGGATAAAATAAAATAAAATTCATTTGTAGGCAAAGCTAATAATAAAATAACCTCCCATTAATATTAAAAAAAGACAACAAACATGTCTGGAAAAGGTGGATGTGTGAGGGAGTAATTTACGCTAAGTTTCCATTAAATAATTATTTCCAGGATGATGTATACAGGTCGATGGTCACAGTATTCGTTGATTTTATTTTTGCTTTTTCCTCCAAAAATTCTCTAGAGAAATAAATATGTACAATTACTATCAGAGCCTCAAGATTCTTTTGATCAAAACATTACAAGGAAATAAAAATCAATATTAATTTAAAAGATGATGGTGGTAAAAACTCTTAAAAATATAAAGTTAATGTAGAGTGATAATACTCATAATTATGATGCATAATTTTGCTCCTTTTTTTTTTTGGGTACAAAAGAGGGCAAAGCCCAATTAGAATAAATTAAATAAACTGGGGACTTAATCCCATACTCTCTCTTTGCACAGTGTCCTCAATAAAAGCAAGACAAACCTCGTAAAGAACAAAATTTGTAATTCCTCACTTAGCTAGAGTATCCGCCACACCATTATAGGATCAAGGTGCATAGATCAGCTTTAGTTCCCATGGTAGAAGAAGTGAGTCCTCGATTTGGACAAACATCATACTACAATTCTGAAGCATTCCTTTGTGCAGTAACTGATCCACCAACTCTTTAGCATTAGACCCCACTATTTTAAAACCAAGATCCCACGCCATCTTCAAACCTTTGAACAATGCCCACTCTTCCGCCTCAAATGCACTACACAAACCAATCTTGTGAGAGAATCAAGCTATCCATGTTCCGGTCGGATCTCTGAGAACACCTCCACCCCAGCCATAGCTGATCTGTGATCCCTAGCTCCATCAACATTCAGTTTTACCCATCCACGAGGAGGTGGCTTCCAAATAGAGCTGCCCAACGTCACCTCATTGCAACTCTTTTCACAATCCGTCCTCATTATATAGGTTTTCTAGCTGTTTTTAATTATCATCAACAGTTTCACAGGTTGTTGATATTCCGGATCAAATTCCGCCTTGTTTGTCCAGCACCATAACTCCCAAACAATCACCCCCCACAAAAGATTCCAGTCCGCCACTTCTGAGTTCCTTACATGACACTTCAAATTGACTGAAAACCAATCTCGCAGAGGTAATGTGAAAAAATGCTGAATATTTGTAGGCTCAACTAAGTCCATCCAAATTTGCCTGGTAAAGCTATAGTCTTGCAAAATTTGGATGGTATCTTCATTATGTGTATGACAGTAAGAGCACTTTGGGGAATCTGTAGACCAGGAACTTCGCCACATTTTGGTTGGGAGCTTATTATTGAAAGCCCTCCATAAGAAAACTCTCACCCTCTCCACACCCTGCCAATTCCATATCAGCTTATAGGTTGGGTGGTAAAAATCTTCGAGATGCTGTTGCAGCAAAAAATAGGCACTTCTAATCTAGAATTCTCCATTTGGATATGCTTTCCAAGATATAAAATCACTGCTAGCCTC